AGATCACTCATTTTTTGTTCTTCCACCGGCCTCCGTAGTCTCCTACAAAGCACACACTGACGAATGTATGATGTTACTGCTTGATTTAGTTTGGGGATCCAATAGCCGCTGGACCGTATTTCGTTCATTGTGAAGCCTTTTCCTTGGTGAAGGACCTTCTCATGACAGTGAGCAATTATCAATTTTGTGATGTGATGCTCTCTCGGAATGACAGTTGGATGTTTTATCGAGTTTGGCAGCGATGAGTGTTGCAGCCTTCCTCCCACCTTGAGCACTTTGTCTTTATCCAAGAAGAGATCCAAATTGTGCATTTTGTTGTTTTTTGATAGTGCTTTACCTTTGCTCAACAGTGATCTTTGATTATCAAAATGTCTGCGTTTTGTCTTTCACTTGCAGTTGTGAGTGACTTTGATTTGTCTTTGAGTACGTATCGTTTGAGGCGTGCTACTGCGCTGACTGCACGGGACCAGGAGGAGAACTTGTTGAGACGGTCACTGAGACTTTTGCGGTCTGTTGTTCGCGTGTTCAACGTCTGCACTTTTCTCACCTCTGGGTCTCCTAGTGGAAGTTCAATAGCCTCTTTTGTAGGAAGATTTATCTCTTTTTCCCACAAGAACTGGGACACGGGGGGAACATGCAAACTCCACTCAGAAAGGCCCTGGTCCAACCGGGATTCGAACCCAGGACCTTCTTGCTGAGAAGCGAGAGTGCTATCCACTCAGCCACCGTGTTACTCTATTGTCATAGAGTAGCTCCTCCCTTAGCATGTTGCTTACTGTGACTGATACTGCAGCTGCGGTCAACTCTAGCCTTGGACTCGTGGTTACTTTTGTTGGAGAGACACGTGCTTTGCCCATAATAAAGTTGCAGTGAACATCTTTGTTTTTGTTAATCAGTCTTAAGTACAGTAAGTGCATTGTCCATATCCTGTTGTGCTTGCGTCGGAAAAGTGGTGCAATTCTCTTTTCACTACATTTCCAAATGTTTCTGGGTCAAAACATCTGTTTATTTGCAACTTTTTCAGATGACTCAAATCTCCTTTCCAGCTCTCCCACCGTGGCTTGAGATGTTCAGGTATCGGATCGTCCCAGCCTGTTCCTTGGCGACACATTTCTTGAAGGATTCTTTTGCCATTGAGTACATATGGGGCAATGAATCCAAGCGGGTCGTATGATGCTGCCACTGTAGATAGTACTACAAAGTAAACTTAAATGATCGGAACTACCTAAGGTTCTTATGGTGGAAAGACAGCGACATGAGCAAGCCACAACCAGCACACAGAATGACAGTACACCTCTTTGGCGCTGTCTCGTCACCTGGTTGTGCAAACTACGTACTTAAACATGTAGCTAAAGAAAACAGCCTTCAGTTTCCCGTAGCCTCACAGTTTATAGCAAGAGACTTATATGTAGATGGTGGAGTTACAAGTGTTGAAACAGTGAATGATGCTATACAACTGGCAAAGGAAGCACGTGATTTATGTGCAAAAGGTGGACTAAGGCTACACAAATTTGTATCTAATAACGGTGTTGTTCTAAACAGCATCCCAGTGTCAGAACATGCAACAGATGCAAAAACAAAGGACTTGACATTCAGAGAAACACAAACGGAAAGAGCACTTGGTATTTACTGGAACATAGAGAAAGATTGCTTCACATTCAATATCACATTAAAGGACCAACCCCCAACCCGTCGCGGTATCCTGTCTTCAGTGGCAGCAATATACGACCCGCTTGGATTCATCTATTCCGGAGGTGTAATCTATTCTCCAGAGTTTGATGAATCCAAGTTTGGTGCTGAGCTCGTGAGGAACTCTTTGTCTCTGAAGATGGAGGCTGTGGATGTGACTGACTCTGCTGTGTACTACTGTGCTCTGCAGCCCACACTGACAGGAAACACCAACACTCTGAACAAAAACCTCTGCAGCAAAGACAACACAATAGTGTAGTGTCTCCACTAGAGGGCGACACTCTCTGTGAGACTCAGACGCTGAAAAACCAACCGTGTGAGAAACTCAGGAGATCCACAGAGTTCACATGAGGGCCCTCAGCTGTGCTCTTTCACATCATTTTGAGACTTTTCGAACTCTCAAAAACAAATTACTAAAGTGTGATGGATTGGTCTTTGTTTGAACTTACAGCTGAATAACGATAATATCAACCGCAGGAATTTTTGTTTAAAGAAAAATGTAATGCAATGATTGAATGATGTCATTTTGCACTTTTTTTGTTCAGACTACTATTTAAATGCACTTTTTTGCTTTGTAGTTTCCAAGTGCACTCAGTTCACTTTATATAAAGAATAAACATAAGATTAAGATTAAAATGTATCGTTTAGCCAGTTTTTGTGTGAAACAATATTTCTGAATAGTACAAATGTGGACCCCTAAAAAAAACCCTTGCCACCCCCTGTTTCAAAGTCTGGCTCCGCCACTGAATACAGCATAAGAATGAACAGGCTCCCTGCACCAGAGCCAACAATGTTTAGTGGTGAGCCAATGCATTTCATTGAATGGAAATCTACTTTCACATCATTGATTGAACAAAATGGCATCTCAGCAGCAGATAAACTGTATTATCTAAAAAGATACATTACTGGCCCAGCTCACAAATGCCTTGAAGGGACTTTCTTTAGGAATGATAAAGAGGCTTATAATGATGCCTGGGAAAAATTGACCCAAAGATATGGCCAACCATTTGTAATACAAAGGGCCTTTAGAGAGAAGCTGTCTAATTGTCCAAAAATACAATCTACTACTTAATAAACTGGTGAAACATTTTTTCGATGTCGCACATTAGAGCTACTCGATGCTGTTGAAAGCGCACAAGTACACCAGTTAAGTTATTAATCATGTAAGGACCGTTTAATAAATGTTCATTAAGACTTGTACCTTTTGTATTTAGCTGAGCAATCAAAAACCACTCGCAGCTTTTCTGTTTTCTTTGGATGATATATGCCGTGGTGTGATATGTACCATGTCCCACCTGTTGGTCCGTTATCATCTGTCTTTTCTGCATCACCCCTCTTAATAATGTCATTCATGTATGTGATGTAGTCTTCTCTGTATTTATCATCACGCATACGTTTTCTCTTGAGATGATTGAGTCTTGTTTCGGCAAGTTTTCGGTTATCTGGCATTTGTGACCTTTCCTTAAATGACAGTGGCATTTCAAAATGTCTACGCTTAGTCTGTATTATGCCTTGTTCAAGTTTCTCAAGGAACATGAGATCCTCTTGTGACACAGTTTTTTCATTGCTTTGAAAGTTTTTGAAATCCTTTTCTAAAATACCTGTCGGAGTAGATGGGGGTATTTTCCTGTTCCATCTCGAATTGATCCAGTCTGGGAGTTTATACAGAAGTTTCTGATTTTCTTCACAATCCTTTACATGAGGCATAGCGAGTGTGCATGCATTAATGAAGTCTGCAAAGTTCCTTAGTCCTTCAGCATCTTTAGATTGTTTTTTTGGCCAATCAGACAGCTTCTCTCTAAAGGCCCTTTGTATTACAAATGGTTGGCCATATCTTTGGGTCAATTTTCCCAGGCATCATTATAAGCCTCTTCATCATTCCTAAAGAAAGTCCCTTCAAGGCATTTGTGAGCTGGGCCAGTAATGTATCTTTTTAGATAATACAGTTTATCTGCTGCTGAGATGCCATTTTGTTCAATCAATGATGTGAAAGTAGATTTCCATTCAATGAAATGCATTGGCTCACCACTAAACATTGTTGGCTCTGGTGCAGGGAGCCTGTTCATTCTTATGCTGTATTCAGTGGCGGAGCCAGACTTTGAAACAGAGGGTGGCCAGGGGGTGGCAAGGGTTTTTTTTAGGGGTCCACATTTATACTATTCAGAAATTTTGTTTCACACAAAAACTGGCTAAACGATATATTTTAATCTTAATGGCAATCTTAGTGGCAGGTGAGTGTGTGAGTGTGTCCCTCTCTCACTCGGTCAGGCTGAGAAGTGTGTTTACTCTAGTGGTCAAGTACTGCTACTGCAAGCTACACAAAAGGACATGTCTAGAAACATGTGTGTATGAAGTCCCCACAAGAAAAGTAATATACAAACCTGCGAATCAACATTATATTTACTGTGTATGAAGGTACCCACAACGATAAATTGTAAATAAAAAGAATACTGTGATCATCATCCATCCATTTTCTTCCCCTTAATCCATATATGGGTCGGGGGTGGCAGTCAGAGCTGCACCCAATCCACAGAGCACCAGCCCCTCACTGATCCTCCTGCAGGTGGTGAGTCAAGAGCTAATATTCACTGATTCTAGTTCACTGTGCATTTGTGTACAAGCACAACTGTTTTTTAACTTGTCACACATCCACAGGCTCAGGATGAATACAGCTGCTCTCGTCTCATCTCAGCATTTGCGTCAGTTTTAATTCTAGCGGTTGTCGGTACATTGTTGTTCTCTCATCGTCCCCCAGTCTGTTATAACTGTTGTGATATAAGACTATACAAACATAACTGTCCTTCAATTTGTTCCATGCAGACAATCAAGAGACAGATTGTTTGAATCTTTAACCTCGTGTTGAGGAATTGGCAACTTTGTCAAGTCCACAGAGACGAATGCAGTTGTGACTTAAGGCTATACAGAAATAAATTGAACTGAATTGAGACCCAAAAAACAGTCCAAGTCTGCACCCTGGACTTTTCTAGAGCTGTGGAAGAGTCCCAGTCTGTACTTTATATGAATGGTACATCACATGGGGCTGATACTGAACACTCTCTACTTTGTCCTCGTTATGAGTGGTTATGGTCTTATGGTTTCACTGCTTTTGGTGTCTTTTAAGTGTCCGTCTTCAAACAAGAAATAATCTACCAGACTTTTCATTAAGTGCTTTTATAAGTTAGAACAGTCTCAAAATGATGTGAAAGAGCACAGCTGAGCGTTCCTCATGTGAACTCTGTGGATCTGCTGAGTTTCTCACACTGACAATTGGTTTTTGCAGCGTCTGACTCTGAGTCTCAGAGTGTCGCCCTCTAGTGGAGACACTGCACTATTGTGTTGTCTTTGCTGCAGAGGTTTTTGTCCAGAGTGTTGGTGTTTCCTGTCAGTGTGGGCTGCAGAGCACAGTAGTACACAGCAGAGTCAGTCACATCCACAGCCTCCATCTTCAGAGAAAAAGAGTTCCCCACGAGCTCAGCACCAAACTTGGATCCATCAAACTCTGTGGAGTGGAAACTGCCACCTCCTCTTATTAACACCATCATGTACTTTGGAGAATCACCATCTTTCTGTCTGTACCAGAAAAAGTAGTCTGTGGAGAAGCTTGTTGTAAAGTGGCAGATGAGTGTGTCCCTCTCTCACTCGGTCCTCTCCTGCTGCCTGCTTCACTGTGTCTTGTCCGTTACACTCTGGAGAAGAACTCAGCAGCACAAGCAGAGCTGAGAGCAGTGGACACAGGACACACTCCATCTTAAACAGCCCTCTCATGTTTCCTTTGCTTCTTCTAAATTCTGAGTCTTTGTGTCGACTCTTCTGGCTCCACAGCTTTTAGGAGGATGTGCTCCTCCCACAGATCTCTGTTCAAATGAAAACACACACACAAACACGCACACAGACAGACAGACACACACACACACACACGCTAAACAGTGATAGATTTGCACCATAAGGTTTGATTTTTGTCTAATCTGACCAAAGCACCTTCTCCCACATGGTAGCTGTGTCCACCATATAATTTCTGGCAAACTTAATAATGGCTTTCTTCTTTGTCACTCGTCCATAAAGGCCAGATTTGTGTAGAGACTGATAGTTCTCCCTTCTACAGATTCCCCCAGCTCAGCATCAGTACTTCACAGCTCCTCCAGAGTCATCCAGGGACACTTGGTTGTCTTTCTGACCAGTGCTGTCTATGTTCGATCTGTTAGTTTAGGTGGACAGCCGTGTCTTGGTAAGTTTGCAGTGGTGTCATACTCTTTACATTTACGAATGATGTTGAACAAATGTTTTCATACTGAGAGTAGATTACACACTATTTAATTATTAAGATAAGGTGTAAACATTCAGCAGTCATCAGAATAGGCCGAACTTTTCACTTTTTTGTTATTATTTAAAAACAGAAACAGACTTATTTTACTTTCACTTTCACAGTTGTCTGATGCTAGTGAACTCCCAGTAATAAAAATCAAAAGACAATCTTATGTTTATGGTTGTAAACATGACATGTGCAACAGTTCAAGCTGTATGAATACTTTTGAGAGAAACTCTAGTCTGTTCATTGCTATTCACCTGCTATCCCATTGTCTGTTTCATGCCATGATGATAGGACTCCTCGATCCGGCCTCTTTGACCTGCACCTGTCCTCGGATGGAGCCTCTTCAGTCCTGGGTCTACAGCCTCCGTCCTGAATCTACAGTCTAATCGTCTTTAGCAGGTGAAATGGTGAAACTCTGAGCTTCAGGACGCTTCATCAAGTCCAGACTTTCTGATCCCAGTGACACTGATCTGGGACCAGAACCAAAATGGAACTGGATCAAATGTTGAGGCCTTTGAAAACTTTACAAACCATGAACTAGTTTGAACATTCCTGCTGAGGAGCCACATCTCTTCACAGAGAGTGTCGCCCTCTAGTGGAGACACTGCACTATTGTGTTGTCTTTGCTGCAGAGGTTTTTGTTCAGAGTGTTGGTGTTTCCTGTCAGTGTGGGCTCCAGAGCACAGTAGTACACAGCAGAGTCAGTCACATCCACAGCCTCCATCTTCAGAGACAAAGAGTTCCCCACGAGCTCAGCACTAAACTTGGATTCATCAAACTCTGTGGAGTGGAAACTGCCAACTCCTCTTAACAATTTGAGCATGTACTTTGGAGAATCATGATCATTCTGTCTGTACCAGAAGAAATAGTTTGAGGAGATGCTTGTTGTAAAGTTGCAGATGAGTCTGTGAGTGTCTCCCTCTGTTACTCGGTCCTCTCCTGCTGCCTGCTTCACTGTGTCTTGTCCGTTACACTCTGGAGAAGAACTCAGCAGCACAAGCAGAGCTGAGAGCAGTGGACACAGGACACACTCCATCTTAAAGCTCAGATCCTCTCAGTGTGTGCTGCTCTCTTACAGTCTGCTGTTCTCAGCTCTGTGCTCACACCTGTCATTTCCTGTATCAGGCTGAGAAGTGTGTTTACCCTAGTGGTCAAGTGCTGCTACTGCAAGCTAAACTAAAGGACATGTCTAGAAACATGTGTGTATGAAGTCCCCACAAGCAAAGCAATATACAAATCTGCGAATCAACATTATATTTACTGTGTATGAAGGTACCCACAACGATAAATTGTAAATAAAAAGAACACTGTGATCATCATCCATCCATTTTCTTCCCCTTAATCCATTTATGGGTCGGGGGTGGCAGTCAGAGCTGCACCCAATCCACAAAGCACCACAGCCCCTCACTGACCCTCCTGCAGGTGGTGAGTCAGGAGCTAATATTCACTGATTCTAGTTCACTGTGCATTTATGTACAAGCACAACTGTTTTTTAACTTGTCACACATCCACAGGCTCAGGATGAATACAGCTGCTCTCGTCTCATCTCGGCATTTGTGTCAGTTTTAATTCTAGCGGTTGTCGGTACATTGTTGTTCTCTCATCGTCCCCCAGTCTGTTATAACTGTTGTGATATAAGACTATACAAACATAACTGTCCTTCAGTTTGTTCCATGCAGACAATCAAGAGACAGGTTGTTTGAATCTTTAACCTCGTGTTGAGGAATTGGCAACTTTGTCAAGTCCACAGAGACGACTGCAGTTGTGACTTAAGGCTATACAGAAATAAATTGAACTGAAAAAAAAGTCTGAGTCCCCACCCTGGACTTCTCTAGAGCTGAGGAAGAGTCCCAGTCTGTACTTTATATGAATGGTACATCACATGGGGCTGATACTGAACCCTCTCTACTTTGTCCTCGTTATGAGTGGTTATGCTCATATGGTTTCACTGCTTTTGGTGTCTTTTAATTGTCTGGTCCGTCTTCAAACAAGAAATAATCTACCAGACTTTTCATGAAGTGCTTTTATAAGTTAGAACAGTCTCAAAATGATGTGAAAGAGCACAGCTGAGTGTTCCTCATGTGAACTCTGTGGATCTGCTGAGTTTCTCACACTGACAGTTGGGTTTTCAGCGTCTGACTCTGACTTTCACAGAGAGTGTCGCCCTCTAGTAGAGACACTGCACTATTGTGTTGTCTTTGCTGCAGAGGTTTTTGTTCAGAGTGTTGGTGTTTCCTGTCAGTGTGGGCTCCAGAGCACAGTAGTACACAGCAGAGTCAGTCACATCCACAGCTTCCATCTTCAGAGACAAAGAGTTCCCCACGAGCTCAGCACCAAACTTGGATCCATCAAACTCTGGAGACTTTATTACGTTTCCTGAATAGATCTTCATCATGTACTTTGGAGCACCTCGTCCTTCCTGCTTGTACCAGAACAGAGTTGGATAAGAAGAGATGGTTCTAAAGTTGCAGATGAGTGTGTGAGTGTCTCCCTCTGTTACTCGGTCCTCTCCTGCTGCCTGCTTCACTGTGTCTTGTCCGTTACACTCTGGAGAAGAACTCAGCAGCACAAGCAGAGCTGAGAGCAGTGGACACAGGACACACTCCATCTTAAAGCTCAGATCCTCTCAGTGTGTGCTGCTCTCTTACAGTCTGCTGTCCTCAGCTCTGTGCTCACACCTGTCATTTCCTGTCTCAGGCTGAGAAGTGTGTTCACCCTAGTGGTCAAGTACTGCTACTGCAAGCTCCACATAAGGATCAGGTCCCCACAACGATAGTACTGTAAATAAAAACACCACTGTGATCATTGTTAACACTAATATTCACTGATTCTTGTTCACCGTGCATTTGGATACATCCACAACTGTTTTTTTTACTTGTCACACTTCAAGCCACATAATCAATAGAGCTGCTCTTGTCTGTCCTACTTTGTCTGACATCTGTGCCTGTTTTAATTTTAGCGGTTGTCTGTATATTGCTTGTCACTCCTTGCCCCCCAGTCTGTTATAGCTGTTGTGATAAAAGAGTTTACAAAAATAAAGTGAACTGGCCTTCAGTCTGATTCATGCACACAATCATGAGACTGTTTGAGTCTTTGATCTTGTGTTGAGGAATTGACAACTTTGTAAAGTCCGCCGAGACGAATGCAGTTGAGACTTAAGGCTATACAGAAATAAATTTAACTGAATTGAGATCCAAAAAAGTCTGAGTCTGCACCCTGGACTTCTCTAGAGCTGTGGAAGAGTCCCAGTCTGTACTTTATATGAATGGTACATCACATGGGGCTGATACTGAACACTCTCTACCTTGTACTCGTTATGAGTGGTTATGGTCTTATGGTTTCTCTGCTTTTGGTCTCTTTGTGTCTGATCCGTCTTCAAACAAGAAATAATCTACCAGACTTTTCATGAAGTGCTTTTATAAGTTAGAACAGTCTCAAAATGATGTGAAAGAGCACAGCTGAGTGTTCCTCATGTGAACTCTGTGGATCTGCTGAGTTTCTCACACTGACAGTTGGTTTTGCAGCGTCTGACTCTGAGTCTCACAGAGAGTGTCGCCCTCTAGTGGAGACACTGCACTATTGTGTTGTCTTTGCTGCTGAGGTTTTTGTTCAGAGTGTTGGTGTTTCCTGTCAGTGTGGGCTCCAGAGCACAGTAGTACACAGCAGAGTCAGTCACATCCACAGCCTCCATCTTCAGAGACAAAGAGTTCCCCACGAGCTCAGCAACAAACTTGGATCCATCAAACTCTGGAGAATTAAGCCCTATTCCATTTGTGTCTCGCCACATCATGTACTTTGGAGAATCACCATCTTTCTGTCTGTACCAGTACAAGGTGCTGTAGCCTGTGGTTGTAAAGTGGCAGGTGAGTGTGTGAGTGTGTCCCTCTCTCACTCGGTCCTCTCCTGCTGCCTGCTTCACTGTGTCTTGTCCGTTACACTCTGGAGAAGAACTCAGCAGCACAAGCAGAGCTGAGAGCAGTGGACACAGGACACACTCCATCTTAAACAGCCCTCTCATGTTTCCTTTGCTTCTTCTAAAGTCTGAGTCTTTGTGTCGACTCTTCTGGCTCCACAGCTTTTAGGAGGATGTGCTCCTCCCACAGATCTCTGTTCAAATGAAAACACACACACACACACACACACACACACACACACACACACACACACACACACACACACACACACACACACACGCTAAACAGTGCTAGATTTGCACCATGAGGTTTGATTTTTGTCTAGTCTGACCAAAGCACCTTCTCCCACATGGTAGCTGTGTCCACCATATAACTTCTGGCAAACTTAATAATGGCTTTCTTCTTTGCCACTCGTCCATAAAGGCCAGATTTGTGTAGAGACTGATAGTTCTCCCTTATACAGATTCCCCCAGCTCAGCATCAGTACTTCACAGCTCCTCCAGAGTCATCTTGGGACACTTGGTTGTCTTTCTGACCAGTGCTGTCTATGTTCGATCTGTTAGTTTAGGTGGACAGCCGTGTCTTGGTAAGTTTGCAGTGGTGTCATACTCTTTACATTTCTGAATGATGGATTGAACAGTGCTCCGTAAGATGTTCAAATCTTGGGATTGTTGATATAACTTAAAACTACTTTAAACTTCTCCACAACTGTATCCCTGACCTCTCTGTTGTGCTCCTGGACCTCATAATGTTTAGTGACCAATACACTCTGACCACAGCTTTGAGGCCCTCACAAAACAAATGTTTTTATACTGAGAGTAGATTACACACTATTTAATCATTGGGATAAAGTGTAAACATTCACAGTCATCAGAACAGGCCAAACTTTTAACTTTTCTGTTATTATTTAAAAACAGAAACAGACTTCTTTTACTTTCACTTTCACAGTTGTCTGATACTTGTGAACTCCCAGTAATAAAAGTCAAAAGACAATCTTTATGTTTATGGTTGTAAACATGACATGTGCAACAGTTCAAGCTGTATGAATACTTTTGAGAGGCACTTTATTCTGTTAATTGCTATTCACCCGGTATCCCATTGTCTGTTTCAAGCCATGATGATAGGATCCTCCTCGATCCTGTCTCTTTGACCTGCACCTGTACTCAGATGGAGCCTCTTCAGTCCTGGGTCTACAGCCTCCGTCCTGAATCTACAGTCTAATCGTCTTCAGCAGGTGAAATGGTGAAACTCTGAGCTTCAGGACACTTCATCAAGTCCAGACTTTCTGATCCCAGTGACACTGATCTGGGACCAGATCCAAATGGAACTGGACCAAATGTTGAGGCCTTTGAAAACTATACAAACCATGAAGTAGTTTGAACATTCCTGCTGAGGAGCCACATCTCTTCACAGAGAGTGTCGCCCTCTAGTGGAGACACTGCACTATTGTGTTTTCTTTGCTGCAGAGGTTTTTGTTCAGAGTGTTGGTGTTTCCTGTCAGTGTGGGCTCCAGAGCACAGTAGTACACAGCAGAGTCAGTCACATTCACAGCCTCCATCTTCAGAGACAAAGAGTTCCCCACGAGCTCAGCACCAAACTTGGATTCATCAAACTCTGTGGAGTGGAAACTGCCAACTCCTCTTAACAATTTGAGCATGTACTTTGGAGAATCATGATCTTTCTGTCTGTACCAGAAGAAATAGTTTGAGGAGATGCTTGCTGTAAAGTTGCAGATGAGTGTGTGAGTGTGTCCCTCTCTCACTCGGTCCTCTCCTGCTGCCTGCTTCACTGTGTCTTGTCCGTTACACTCTGGAGAAGAACTCAGCAGCACAAGCAGAGCTGAGAGCAGTGGACACAGGACACACTCCATCTTAAAGCTCAGATCCTCTCAGTGTGTGCTGCTCTCTTACAGTCTGCTGTCCTCAGCTCTGTGCTCACACCTGTCATTTCCTGTGTCAGGCTGAGAAGTGTGTTCACCCTAGTGGTCAAGTGCTGCTACTGCAAGCTACACTAAAGGACATGTCTAGAAACATGTGTGTATGAAGTCCCCACAAGCAAAGCAATATACAAACCTGCGAATCAACATTATATTTACTGTTCATGAAGGTACCCACAACAATAAATTGTAAATAAAAAGAACACTGTGATCATCATCCATCCATTTTCTTCCCCTTAATCCATTTATGGGTCGGGGGTGGCAGTCAGAGCTGCACCCAATCCACAGAGCACCAGCCCCTCACTGACCCTCCTGCAGGTGGTGAGTCAGGAGCTAATATTCACTGATTCTAGTTCACTGTGCATTTGTGTACAAGCACAACTGTTTTTTTAACTCGTAACACATCCACAGGCTCAGGATGAATACAGCTGCTCTCGTCTCATCTCGGCATTTGTGTCAGTTTTAATTCTAGCGGTTGTCGGTACATTGTTGTTCACTCATCGTCCCCCAGTCTGTTATAACTGTTGTGATATAAGACTATACAAATATAACTGTCCTTCAGTTTGTTCCATGCAGACAATCAAGAGACAGATTGTTTGAATCTTTAACCTCGTGTTGAGGAATTGGCAACTTTGTCAAGTCCACAAAGACGACTGCAGTTGTGACTTAAGGCTATACAGAAATAAATTGAACTGAATTGAGACCCAAAAAACAGTCTGTGTCTGCACCCTGGACTTCTCTAGAGCTGAGGAAGAGTCCCAGTCTGTACTTTATATGAATGGTACATCACATGGGGCGGATACTGAATCCTCTCTACTTTGTCCTCGTTATGAGTGGTTATGGTCTTATGGTTTCACTGCTTTTGGTGTCTTTTAAGTGTCTGGTCCGTCTTCAAACAAGAAATAATCTACCAGACTTTTCATGAAGTGCTTTTATAAGTTAGAACAGTCTCAAAATGATGTGAAAGAGCACAGCCGAGTGTTCGTCATGTGAACTCTGTGGATCTGCTGAGTTTCTCACACTGATAGTTGGTTTTTCAGCGTCTGACTCTGAGTCTCAGCGATAGTGTCGCCCTCTAGTGGAGACACTGCACTATTGTGTTGTCTTTGCTGCAGAGGTTTTTGTTCAGAGTGTTGGTGTTTCCTGTCAGTGTGGGCTCCAGAGCACAGTAGTACACAGCAGAGTCAGTCACATCCACAGCCTCCATCTTCAGAGACAAAGAGTTCCCCACAAGCTCAGCACCAAACTTGGATTCATCAAACTCTGTGGAGTGGAAACTGCCAACTTCTCTTATTAACACCATCATGTACTTTGGAGAAGTCTGTCTGTACCAGAAAAAGTAGTTTTAGGAGAGGCTTGTTGTAAAGTTGCAGATGAGTGTGTGAGTGTCTCCCTCTCTCACTCGGTCCTCTCCTGCTGCCTGCTTCACTGTGTCTTGTCCGTTACACTCTGGAGAAGAACTCAGCAGCACAAGCAGAGCTGAGAGCAGTGGACACAGGACACACTCCATCTTAAAGCTCAGATCCTCTCAGTGTGTGCTGCTCTCTTACAGTCTGCTGTCCTCAGCTCTGTGCTCACACCTGTCATTTCCTGTGTCAGGCTGAGAAGTGTGTTTACCCTAGTGGTCAAGTGCTGCTACTACTGATCTACATGTCCTGGAAAACGTGAAGTCCACATGGATAGTACAATACAAATCTGTTTATTTATAACATTATATTTAGTGTATAATAAGGGCCCCACAAGGATGCTACTGTAAAAAGGACCACTATGATTACTTACTTTAAATTACAATAATCACTGTTTCTAGTTCACTGTCTATTTGTGTACATCGACAACAGTTTTATTCACTCGTCACACATCCACAGGCTGCAGGATGAATAGAGCTGTTCTCTTCTTTCCCATTTTTTTCTGACATCTGTGTCGAGTTCCACTTTTACTTGTCTGAACATTGCTATTAACTCATGGTCCCTCAGTCAGTTTCTTACACCCGATGAGGAGACCAGAAGATCAGACTGGGAGTCTACACCCTGGACTCTAGACCTGTGAACTAGTCCCAGTCCCAAACCTTGACTCTAGATCTATGGACTAACCTCTGTCCACACCCTAGATTTCTCTAAACCTGTGGATCAATCCAGTCTGCACTCTGTACACCATATAAGGTCATGTCCAGAAACATGTGAGTGTATGAAGTCCCCAAATGGATAGTACAAATATAAATCTGTGTATTAATAACATTCTATTTGGTTTGTAATAAAGTTTCCACAAGGATAGTACTATATAAAGGATCATTGTGATAACACTAATGTTTACTTTTTCTAGTTCACTGTCCATTTTCTGGCATCTGGGTCCATTTTGACTATTTCTTGTTGTCTTTATAATGCTAGTCACAGATTGTCCCCTGTTTTATGCATGTTTTTAGATAGATAGATAGATACTTTATTGATCCCCGTTGGAGAAATTCAGGTGTCCAGTGGCAGCAAAAACAAAGAATAAAATTGAACATTTTAAAAAGCTAACAATAGTAATAATCAGCAACAGCCCTTCAGGTCACAGCAGCAGAGGTGGAGTAGCCTCTGGGTGGAGCAGGACAGGTCACAGCAGCAGAGGTGGAGCAGCCTCTGGGTGGAGCAGGACGGGTCACAGCAGCAGAGGTGGAGCAGCCTCTGGGTGGAGCAGGACGGGTCACAGCAGAAGAGGTGGAGTAGCCTCTGGGTGGAGCAGGACGGGTCACAGCAGCAGAGGTGGAGCAGCCTCTGGGTGGAGCAGGACGGGTCACAGCAGAAGAGGTGTAGCAGCCTCTGGGTGGAGCAGGACGGGTTACAGCAGCAGAGGTGGAGTGGCCTCTGGGTGGAGCAGGACGGGTCACAGCAGCAGAGGTGGAGCAGCCTCTGGGTGGAGCAGGACGGGTCACAGCAGCAGAGGTGGAGCAGCCTCTGGGTGGAGCAGGACGGGTCACAGCAGCAGAGGTGGAGTAGCCGCTGGGTTCGGATCATTTTCTCTGCTCTAGTCCAAAGTAAAATTATGAGACCCGAAAACCAGTTCCAGTCTGCAGCCTGTAATCCTGTCAACTAAACCCTTCAAGACAAATGCTATTGTGATTTTTGATTCACTAAACAAATAAAGTTATTGTTTTGAAGGTTACCGCTAAAACATGGTCTGCTTTGTCCTTGTTGTGAGTCGCAATGCCCTTGTTATTTCTCTGCTTTCTGTTTTTTTAAGCAACTGATTTGTCTTCAATCAAGGACCAATCCATCACACTTTATTCATTTAGTGTTTCACAGGATGTGAACGTTCCAGAAAGAGTTCAGCTGAGGGTCCCTCATGTGAACTCTGTGGATCTGCTGAGTTTCTCACACTGATAGTTGGTTTTTTAGCGTCTGATTCTGAGTCTCACAGAGAGTGTCGCCCTCTAGTGGAGACACTGCACTATTGTGTTGTCTTTGCTGCAGAGGTTTTTGTTCAGAGTGTTGGTGTTTCCTGTCAGTGTGGGCTGCAGAGCACAGTAGTACACAGCAGAGTCAGTCACATCCACAGCCTCCATCTTCAGAGACAAAGAGTTGTTCACGAGCTCAGCACCAAACTTGGATCCATCAAACTCTGGAGAATAGATTACACCTCCGGAATAGATGGTCATCATGTACTTTGGAGCTCCCTGTCCCTCCTGCTTGTACCAGTACAGATATAAGAAAGCAGACGTGGTTGTAAAGTTGCAGATGAGTGTGTGAGTGTGTCCCTCTGTCACTCGGTCCTCTCCTGCTGCCTGCTTCACTGTGTATTGTCCGTTACACTCTGGAGAAGAAATCAGCAGCACAAGCAGAGCTGAGAGCAGTGGACACAGGACACACTCCATCTTAAAGCTCAGATCCTCTCAGTGTGTGCTGCTCTCTTACAGTCTGCTGTCCTCAGCTCTGTGCTCACTCCTGTCATTTCCTGTATCAGGCTGAGAAGTGTGTTTAGCCTAGTGGTCAAGTGCTGCTACTGCAAACTCCACAAAAGAACATGTCCAGGAAAATGTGTGTAAGAAGTCCCCACATGGATACACATGTGGTTAAACATAAACAGTGTATTAAGAACCATTATAATTGGTGTCTAATAAGTCCCTACAAAGAAAGTGTGGTGTCTGCTATTATAACTTCTATTATATGAATGTATCTTTATATGTGTAAAATTGTGTTTGGGACAATGTCAGCACTCAATGACAGGAAGTCACTTATCTAAATCATAGGCCAACATGACGTTTAGAAAGACAGAAGGACCCCCATCTGCATCTCGGAAGCGTCTGAGTTATTAGAGTACATACAATGTCCTGTGGATGCATGGTTTGTTATAATTGTGTCTTTTGACATTTGGGCACAAGAGCAGAGACAGCTGACTCGACCCTTCTCTGGGGTCAATGGGGCTGTGGACATCTGGAAGGACAATAAAAGCCTGTAGTGAGACCCTCAGGGAAGTCCGACTCAGAGATACGGAGTTTAACCAGGACTGGTCTACAAGATTATTGAATGACACATATATTTACGACATCCTGTGACTTGACCAACCGATGGCGCTCCTCTGCTACCATAAGGAGCAGCGTCTCTTTCATTCTTTGTCATTCTGCTATTCCATCCTAGCAGGACCCGGGCTATAGTTGTTAGTCTGTAATTTGTCTGTATTCTGCTTATATACATTAAACCTTCTTTTTATGTAAACAGAGTCCTAGCTTCCATTTAGCTAATCACTGGTTTGTGCGGGAGGGAAATCCAGTTACAGTAGATTATCTACTACAAAAGCACTGTTTAAAGGACATTTGTGATAATGCTTAACTCTAATATCCCCTGATTCTAGTTCACTGTGCGTTTGTGTACATCCACGACTGTTTTTACCTCGTCCCACTTCCACAGGCCACAGGATGAGTAGAGCTGCTCTTGTCTTTCATACTTTACCTTCCATCTGTGTCCAGTTTGACCTTTACTGGTTGTGTGTTCATTGGTTTTCACCGTTGTCCCTCAGTCTGTTTCATGTTTGTAGTGATGAGACAAAAAGTATTATAACATTTATGGACATTTATCAACTTTCATGGACATTGGTCAACTCCCTATGGACCAATACCTACTGTGTTCTATATTTTTGTGTTTGAACTGTTTGATTTTCTGATCTGTGTTGGCCATTTCAACAGTTTTGTTGAGTCATCTGAGATAACTACTGATGTGATTTAGGGCTATACAAAATTAAATTGAGACTCACAAACCAGTCCCACTCTGGGCTCCTGTGGACCAGGATCCTTCATGACAACTGCTTTTGTGTTTTTAGTCAATTAAAATAAATGTAATTGTTTTGAATGATACAGTTATCACATGGGGCTGATACTCGACACTCTCTGCTTGTTCTTGTTATGACTCATTATGGTCTTATTGTTTCTTTGCTTTCTGTCCATTTTAAGTGATTAATCCATCTCTTTGACCAATGTGTGAGGACATTATTGTAATCCAGCTGTAAATTCAAACAAAGACAAATCCATCAAACTTTATTCATTCAAGTGTTTTTCAGAGTTAGAACAGTCTGAAAATGATTTGAATGTTCCAGAAAGAGCTGAGCTGAGTGATCCTCATGTGAACTCTGTGGATCTGCTGAGTTTCTCACACTGACAGTTGGTTTTGCAGCGTCTGACTCTCACAGAGAGTGTCGCCCTCTAGTGGAGACACTGCACTATTGTGTTGTCTTTGCTGCAGAGGTTTTTGTTCAGAGTGTTGGTGTTTCCTGTCAGTGTGGGCTGCAGAGCACAGTAGTACACAGCAGAGTCAGTCACATTCACAGCCTCCATCTTCAGAGACAAAGAGTTCCCCACGAGCTCAGCACCAAACTTGGATTCATCAAACTCTGGAGAATTAAGCCCTGATCCACCTTTTTATCGCCACATCATGTACTTTGGAGAATCACCATCTTTCTGTCTGTACCAGAACAGGTTGTTGTTTGTGAAGCTGCTTGTTGTAAAGTTGCAGATGAGTGTTTGAGTGTGTCCCTCTCTCACTCGGTCCTCTCCTGCTGCCTGCTTCACTGTGTATTGTCCGTTACACTCTGGAGAAGAACTCAGCAGCACAAGCAGAGCTGAGAGCAGTGGACACAGGACACACTCCATCTTAAAGCTCAGATCCTCTCAGTGTGTGCTGCTCTCTTACAGTCTGCTGTCCTCAGCTCTGTGCTCACACCTGTCATTTCCTGTGTCAGGCTGAGAAGTGTGTTTACCCTAGTGGTCAAGTGCTGCTACTGCAAGCTAAACTAAAGGACATGTCTAGAAACATGTGTGTATGAAGTCCCCACAAGCAAAGCAATATACAAACCTGCGAATCAACATTATATTTACTGTTCATGAAGGTACCCACAACAATAAATTGTAAATAAAAAGAACACTGTGATCATCATCCATCCATTTTCTTCCCCTTAATCCATTTATGGGTCGGGGGTGGCAGTCAGAGCTGCACCCAATCCACAGAGCACCAGCCCCTCACTGACCCTCCTGCAGGTGGTGAGTCAGGAGCTAATATTCACTGATTCTAGTTCACTGTGCATTTATGTACAAGCACAACTGTTTTTTAACTTGTCACACATCCACAAGCTCAGGATGAATACAGCTGCTCTCGTCTCATCTCGGCATTTGTGTCAGTTTTAATTCTAGCGGTTGTCGGTACATTGTTGTTCACTCATCGTCCCCCAGTCTGTTATAACTGTTGTGATATAAGACTATACAAATATAACTGTCCTTCAGTTTGTTCCATGCAGACAATCAAGAGACAGGTTGTTTGAATCTTTAACCTCGTGTTGAGGAATTGGCAACTTTGTCAAGTCCACAGAGACGAATGCAGTTGTGACTTAAGGCTATACAGAAATAAATTGAACTGAAAAAACAGTCTGAGTCTGCACCCTGGACTTCTCTAGAGCTGAGGAAGAGTCCCAGTCTGTACTTTATATGAATGGTACATCACATGGGGCTGATACTGAACCCTCTCTACTTTGTCCTCGTTATGAGTGGTTATGCTCTTATGGTTTCACTGCTTTTGGTGTCTTTTAAGTGTCTGGTCCGTCTTCAAACAAGAAATAATCTACCAGACTTTTCATGAAGTGCTTTTATAAGTTAGAACAGTCTCAAAATGATGTGAAAGAGGCACAGCTGAGTGTTCCTCATGTGAACTCTGTGGATCTGCTGAGTTTCTCACACTGACAGTTGGTTTTTCAGCGTCTGACTCTGAC